AAAGAATCAAAAAATGTTATTACTCAAATATGTTCTTATCCATTTGCATTTTTATACATTTCTATTTATTTAGTCTATATGTGAAAATTAGTGAAAACATATATTTGTGAGTGTACATGAACATAAACAAGTTTAAGAATTCCATGGTTGCTTCACACTGAATGATTTGTCTTAAAGGCATCTTTTCAAAACATGGAATGGGGAAAATCCTTAAGTAATCCACTCACAGGACCAGCAGATGGTGTAGCAGTTAGGCCACTGGACTCCCACATGGCTAACTGTGGTTTGAGTCCTTGACCCAGTGGTTTGGAAATCACACAAGGCACATGTGCATGTGTGCCCAAGATTCCAGGAGGAGAATGGAGGAGAAGGGATTGTAGCATGGCCATCCCCCCTGGGGAGGTAACTTCTCATTTTCCCTCTCACTGTCTCTCTCTCTCTCTTTTTCCTGTGTGTACATGTGCTCTAAGGCAAAAACCTCTTAGAAAAAGAAGTCAACTCACAAATTCTCCCTTACCATATCATCCTGAGGGTACAAATATTATGGAAATTCAATTTCTTTAACAATATAGAGTTGAGAGCACAGGATTTGGAATCAGACTGAGTTCAGTGGATCTTGGCTGTACCACATATTAGTTTAGGGACCTAGAGGAAGACATTTGCTATCTATACCTAGTTTTTTCACCTGTAAAAGGGAGATTATAGTATCTGGTTGATAGAACTGTGAGTAGAGAATAAATCCATTAGCAGAAGTATACATTAGATTAGTATCTCTCATACAGTAAGAGCTCAGTAAATGTTAGTTACTGTTATTATGTTTCTCTGGTCTTTACTGGACTATGGGTGATGTGCTTCTCACACAATCTCTAAATTCTCTAACTTCAGGTTCTCCAAATATACTGTAAGAGGCCACTCTGGAAATCTTACTGCTTCAGCCATCTTCTCATTTTGCTATGCATGGGAAAGTGAAATCACTGTAACAGTATTTAAAAGAGGAATAATCCAGCAAATCATAATACCCCTATGATAGAATGCAACTCGGTTGTATTAACCAATACTTTTTTCCTTGTGACTGCCATTCTGTTTAAATATTATTCAAATATTTCATCAGAACAAGCTTTACCAGTAATCTCTGAAAACAAACATACCTCATGTTCCCTGGACAAAGTTAAAAGGAAACTTAGATAACATAATCACAATTGAGATTGACTTCTGAAGGTTTTAGTTAGATAAAACAGACTTTGGCTAAGTGACAAACTTAAAATATTGCTAAAAATGTGATGACTGATTTTTTCAGATTTTCCCCATAAGGGTTTTAAGGCATCAACTTTGGATCAGGAGTTTTTGACTTACAAGGTAATTTCAAGGAAATTTCCTCCTGTAACACTGTGCTCAAGGAGTGCTTTTTCCTCTTTTTAAAAATGCCAGTGTCAATAATTTCTAGTTACATATATATGTATATTACCCCTATTTCTGACCCTCTGCCCTTTCCCACCCTCTTCCAACATAATGATGATAACATGCATGATTAAGCCAGTATGCAGTATATTCTGTATGGGAAATCATATTTTATATGCCGTGATGATGCTTAGGGAATGAATGTAAATTAATTTTAAAAAGTTTCATAAATAAATAAATTCAATAAAAAAGAATAAATGGAATAGCACATCTGACATATATTAGGTGCTCAATAAAATTAGGAAAGTTAATTTTCTTTTCACATTCCTGCAAACTTCCTTCATGAAATCTTAACAGGTTATACCAAATAAATCTTAAGCTTGTTTATTCTTGTTCAAAGTTACATAATTGATTATATATACACACACACACACACACACATTCATTTCACTTGCAATGGCAAATATACCATTTTTATTTAATATTGGAAGGCAATATAATGAAGTGAAAATATACCCAAGTATTAAAGTTTAAATTAATATCTGAAAAAAATGCCAGTGTCGTTTAATGCTCCACAGTCTTATAACAACAGCAAGAGGCTGTTATTACTTTTATCATTTTGCAAATGAAAAATTTCAAAGACTTTTTCTAAGTCACCTAGTAGGTCTCTGGACCAGGCCTTCTGTTTACTGCAGATTTCTTTCTCATCAGATTATATTACTTAAATTATCAGAGTAAAAATGTTCCTGTTGGGACTAGCAGGTGGAGTAAGGGTTATATTTTGGGACAAGCAGTTGGAGTAAGGGTTATGTCACTGGACTCTCACGTAGTTGAGTGCAGTTTGAGTCCCGAACCCTGTGGCTTAAAACTCATGCGTGTGTGTGCATGCCCCAAATCCAGAGAGAATGGAGGAGAAGGGATTATGGTGTGCCCATCCCTCCGGGTGGTGATTTCTCACTTTCTGTTCCTCTGTCTCTCTCTGTCCCTCTGCCAAGCACACGTGCCCTATAGCAAAATATCTCTCTCTCGCTGAAAAAAAAATAAAGAGCTTCTCTTTAAAAAGAATATTGAAATAGGTCAAGATAACAACATGATTTCCAAGACTTTAATCATCTCAGTTTATATATTAATTCTAAGAATATTCTTTTCTAAATTACTTATTGCACATCTTTTATTTTAATCGCATTTACAATTATTTCTTGATTCACCAAGAATCAAAGAGAACATATTAAATATTTTAAATTTTAATATTAGTAATCACTTTAACATCAGAAATATCACCAAAGTAATATCATAATAATATGTAGAGTGATTTAAATAAAAATATAGATCATTTTGTTACTATTTTAATATATGTTTCCATTAATGATTCTAATTTGAAATATAATATTCTTTTTTTTTTTTAGTGGTTTTTGCTATAGGTCGCATGTGCTTGCCAGAAAGAAAGAGAGAGACAGAGAGGCAGAAAGTGAGAAATCCATCCCCCCACCAGGGGATGGCCACACTGCAATCCCTTCTCCTCTATTCTCCTCTCAGGATCTTGGGCACACATGCACATGCACCTGGCATGAGTTTAAGCCACCAGGTCCAGGACTAGAACTGTGGTCAGATACATGGGAGTCCAGTGACATAACCATTACGCCAACTGCTTGTCCCGAAATATAATATTCTTTTAACAACTGGTTGCCTTTTATATAAATCAGAATTTCCCATTCATTTATTTTAGTTTGAAAACATGAAATTCATCCCACCTTGAATCCATCGCAGCATCTAGGCTTTTTCTTCTTGGAAGATTGGGTCCCTGTTGTCTTATTCAAACATTGATTTTGATCCATAATTGAACTAAAAATATCATATGAATGTTTTCAATTATTGTTGATGCTTCATTTAAAATGATAACCTATTCAAGAAAAAATAGTACATATTATTTCACTTTAACAACATATTTAGAAATAAGAAAAGCCATAAGGTTAACATCAACAACTCAATTACTAATCTCATTTAGGGGCTACTATGTCCTGACTGAGTTCATAAATGCTGGACACAGAAGGAGGGAAAAGACATCCAAAGTTCTTACCTTAGTTATAGAGATAAATTTGTTGGGAAAAATTTGAAAGAAGTAAGATAATGCAAAATTATACAAAATATAATATAAACCAAAAATTTTAATTATATATATTATTTTATATTTTCAGTATATTCAGATTAAGATATTTATTAAAGAAAATTTATGTTTAATGCTTTTTTATAAAAATTTTACAAATTGTCCAATGGTGTCTTACACATAGAAGATACTCAAAATGGATGGAAAAATACTGTAATAAATTGTAACTAGAATGTACTAAGAGAGTTTCAGAGGAGATACATATATATACACATATATCTAAAATTTTTCTTCCCTTTTTCTTTTTTTTTCCTATTCCTTTTCCTTTTCTTTTTGCCTTTCTCACATTTATGCTCGGTTTTCATACACTGATTTTCTAGACAGGTCTAGGTGCTCAGGAGTCAACTATCTAAATACTTTAAGGGTCAGATTAATACTGATTTTTAACTGAATCAGTTGCGCAAAGGGAAAAAAAGGTACTATTTATAGACTGCAGGGCACCTTCTCTATTCCTTTGATAGCTCAGATTTAACTCCAAAAAATAGGAAAAAAGTATAATCCATCAGATGGCCACAAACCACCCCAGAAGCACAACAAATATGAGAAATGAAGAAAATATCTCTCCTCTAATGGAAAATAATAATTCCTCTTCCTTCAGAAAGAATACAAGGGAACACATGAAAATATCAGATAGAAAATTTAAAATATTCATAATGACAAAGGTAACAGAGATGCAAGAGAATAGAGACAACAGACTCCTGAAGATGCAGGAGAAGAGACACTGAGTTCCAGGAGGTAAAGAAGTTATTGCATGATATGAAAGAGGAGATACACATCATAAAAAAGAATCAAATGAAATATTTAGAGATGTGGGCTGTAATAAAGGAAATCAAAACTTCCTTTGAAATATCAAAAGCAGATTAGATCACGCAGAAGATCGAATCTCAGATGTAGAAGATAGAACCTCTGACCTAGAAAAATTCACCAAGAAGATTGAAATACACCCCTTCCCCAAAATGAGAGTAACATATGAGTAATGCTAGATACCATTAAATGCCCAAATATCTGGATCATCAGGATCTCAGAAGGTGAAGAAACTAATAAAGGTATGTATAATCTATTTCATGAAATCCTGGAAGAAAGCTTCCCAAACCTAGAGAGGCACTCAAATATCCTGACCCAAGAAATACAAAGGACCCCACATAGAATCGACCCAAGAAGATCTTCCCTGAGGTACATCATAGCCAGACTGACCAAAACCACAGACAGACAAGATACTAAAATTGGCAAGAGAGAAACGTCAAGTTACTTTCAAAAGATATCCCATAAGGCTAACGTTGGACCTCTCACCCAAAATGATGCAAGCAAAGAAAGAATGGGAAAATATATTCAAAGTGTTAAGTGAAAACCAATTTCAACCAAGAATATTATACCCAGCAAGATTATCTTTCATATGGGGGGAAAAAAAAAGACAAAAATATTCTCAGATAAACAAAACCTGAAAGAATTTAACAACAGCAGAACAGCTCTCCAATAACTGCTGAAGGGAGTGCTATACCAGAAAAACTAAAGTCGGAAACACAGAAATAAGAGTACAAGAAACAACCCAGAGAATAGCCAGCCAAATGGTAGGGCCAAGTCTGGAGCTGAATGCTAATTTTCAGAGTTTAAATGGAAAGATCGGACCACAGTAACACTGCAAATTCAATAGAAGAGAGATTAATTATGTAAGTCTGAACTAGTGAAATAGATTTTATTTTTCACTTTAGACTAAAACATTACTGATTTTCTTCAGTGCTTTGATTTTCATATTTAAGGATTTTTGTCTTCTCTTGAACTGTTGTTAGGTTCATTTACCTACTATTTTAACTGAATCCTAACCTGTTTTTTAGCTTTGAGTTTTAAGCAAATTTCTCTTAACATTTTTAAATTTTGATTATTAAAACTAAAACTTTTTTTAAATTAAAAAATGCATTAAAAATACCTATTAATATCTATTTAATGACTGAGTAAGCTCTATAGCTCCAGCGAGGTGCTGCTTATAGTATGTTCACTTTACTCACTGAAGTTTATGCCTAAAATCAGACATATGTTCATAAGTATGTATATATCAGTTGTGTTTGCTATTGAGAGTTTTAAATTAATTAAGATCTTTAGTGAATCAATAAAATGTGAAAAAAAGGTATGGAGAACAACTGTACATACCACAGACAGTGTGGGAGAAGGGGGGCAGTTGGCAGAAGGTTAGAGGTAGGGAATCAAGAGGGGAAAATAAAGCAAAATATGTAAGAAACAATAAATAGAAAATTATTTGTTCATTAAAAAAAGAAAGTTGATAGAAAATAGAATGAAAGTCCAAATGTATTTTGGGGCAAAAAATTTTGAAATTAAGAATGAAATTTTAAAGTTACTTGAAAGAAATTATAGCAACAACAACAAAACCTCTCCAGAATCATTGGGATACAGCAAAAGTACTCAGAAGGGGAAGTTTATAGCAATTAGTTTTCACAAGGAAAAATATAGGAAGATGGTAAATAAATAACTTAGCAATGCATCCAAAGGAACTTGAAAACCAAAAATGAAAACTCTAGAAGTAACAGAAGAAAAGAAATAATCAAGATTAGAGCAGAAATAAATTAAATAGAGAATAAAAGAATGATACAAAATATCAATGAAACAAAAATAAAATTGACAACCTATTAGCTAGATAAACTAAGAAAAATAGTGATGATCCAGATCAATAAAACCAGAAATGAAAAAGGTACTATTATAACAGACAACACAGAGTATAATCATAGTCTAATGAACATTATGAATAAATATATGCCAACAAATTGGAAAACCCAAAAGGGATGGCTGAATTTAGACACATAAAATACACATGTATTGAATCTAGAAAAAAGAAAAGTCTGAATAAATCAATAAGCAATGAAGCCAAATCAGTAATGAATTTTCTCTCAACAACAACAAAAAAGTCAGGTCCTGATTAATTCACGGCTGGTTTTTACAAAAAAGAAAAATTAACACCAATTCTCCTCAAATTATTTGTAAAGATACAAATGGAAGGAATCTTCTCAAACTCATTTTTATGAAGATTTCATCATCTGATACCAAAAGGACTTAAGAATAAAAGGAAACTGCAGACTAATATCCCTGATGAATATTGCTAAAAGAAAAATTCTCAACAGAATACTATCAAATTGAATTCAAAAGCACATTAAAAAGATTATATACCATAACCAAGTAGGTTTTATCCCACAGATGTGAGGATAATTCAAATGTGCAAAACAATAAATGTATTACATCATATTAAGAGAAGGAAAGATAAAAGTCATATGATCATTTCAATTGATGCAGAAAATATATGTGATAAAACTTCCCTTCATGATGAAGATTCTCAACAAAATAGGTATAGAGGGTATATTTCTTAAAACATAAAAGCCATATATAACAAATCCATAGCTGATATCATACTGAATAGGGAAAAGCTGAAATATTTCCTACTAAAAAATGGAATAAGACAAGATCGTCTTTCTCCACTCTTTCTTGACATATAGTATTGGAAATCCTAGCTAATGGAATCAGACAAGGGTGTGAAATAAAAGTCATTCAAATAGCAAAGGAAGAAATGAAATTGTCCTTATTTGTAGATAACATGATTATATACACAGAAAGTGTAAAAGGATCTCTGAAAATAAACCCTAGAAGTGATATATGCATTCAATAAAGTGGTAGGATACAAAATCAATATATAAAAATCTAGCTTCTACAAAAATATACAAAATCAATATACGCAAATACACCAACAATGAACAGATTGAGGCAGGATTGAGGGAAGAAATCCCATTTAGAAAAGCCACATACACACATAAAACTGTAAGAATGAATACAACTGAAGCACTGAAAAATCTACAATGAAAACCTGAAAAAAGAAATTGAAAAAAAAATGGAAAGACATCCCTCATTCTTAGAAGAATCACTATAACATAAATGTCCATACTACCCACATTAATTAATAAATTTAATACAAGTCCTATGAAATTACTAGTGACTTCTTCATAGGAATAGAAAAAAAAATACAAAAATTTGTATGGAATTATGAAAGAGTCTGTATCACCAAGGCAACAGCATAAAAGGAATAAAGTTGAAGCATCTCATTACCTTAAGATATATTACAAAGCTAGAATAATGGTCATTTAAAAAAATAATATTAATTTTTCATAAATCTTTTGAAGACCCCTTGCATAACACACACTTTTAATCCTGTAGTTGTAGGTCTCACTGACTTGCAAGATAGCTAGTCCTTTTAGCTTCAGACTTTTCTTTCTTTTTCTAATTAACAAATATTCTTGATAGCTTGAAGGCTGTTATCTCACCCAGCCTTATTTATTTCCATTGGTTAATTTCTAATTGTCCTGTGTCCCAATCTTCTTCCTATCCTATGCATATTGTGTTTATTCTCAGAATCTGTCAAAGATTACTTGAACCATACAAAATACAATTCATAATTCTATTTGAGAATCTTCACAACTAAATTCACCCCTTACTTTTAATCTCATGTCACAATACACCCATAAGCACCCTCAGACATTTAAGATCACTATCCAAAGAAGAAAGATTTGTGTTTTCTACATGTTTTTTTCCCAGTTCGTAATATCCTTCTTAATGATACCCACTTACAGCCAGCTGAAATAATTACTCGCGCACAATTGTGGGAGAATATACCCATAAGTCATTACTTTTTTTTCTATATTTTCCCTCCTTTTAGACAGACTACTATTCCATTCCTCTTTCCTAGAGCTTGAGATACAATGCCCAGCCAGATAATTGGAAATGTAGACACTATTTCCATCTCAGGAAAGTTAAATAGTAGGAAGTAACTACAATGTAAGTAGAGAGCTGGCAATATCAATTTAGGCTTGACTAAATACTATACTTTAAATTTTTTTCTTTTTTGTCAGAGGGCACATGTGTTTGCCAGAGACCAAGAGAGAGATAACTTCTCCACCATCTGGCATGGTTATCTACAATCCCTTTTATTTCTCCTGTTGGACTTTGGGCATGCATGCACATACACCTGGGATGTTTTTCAGGTCACTGGGTCCAGAATTTGAAGCTCTTCTTTGTCATGTAGGATCCAGATGGCTGGCCCCAAATACTATTTCTTCTTCACTATGTATTTTAAGCCTAATTTGGGGGCTTTGAACATAGTTTTCCCTTAATATATTTCTTTTCCTAGGAGCTTCAAGTGACTAACATATAAAAGACTTTTGGTGATGCAATGTTGCTAAGAAAGGGTGACAGGCATTTGGATGTAGCACTGCAACTCTTCCCTAAACAGAACTGCCCAGTTCTTCCTACTTTGATTGGGGTACAGGGAAAGGAAGACCAACTTCTGCTTATCTGTGTCAAACTTTTACTATTTCAAGGGACATAAAAAGCAGTGCAGATCAGGTGACCATGTTTCTCACATGTCTAGGGAACTGAAGAGGAAAAAATGAAAATAACATTACTAACTTCTTAGACTTCTAAGGCGAGGGCTTCTCCCATCCTGTCCTATGTTCCCAATAATAAATATTGTCCTATCAGTCACCTCCTTGGACTGATGCAAGAAACTAATATTTATTGGCCCCTTAGTATGTGCCAAAAACTGTGCTGCTCAGACCTTTTATATTTTTCATTTCTTATTCTCAGAGATAAGATTTTTTTTTCCCCTTGCCCTGAGTAAATCTTGAATCACCACAAAGATAGTAGAGGTGGTTGACTTAGACACACATTCTACTTATGTTTGCCAACTAACTTTGCACACCCCCATATCAGTTTAAAATAGAATCAAAGAAGTAGGAAGTATAGTCTAATAATTTTATGCAGTTGATGAAAATAATTGCCTTGTAGCATATTTTGAGAAGGTAAGTAGAGTTCCATTTTTTCAGACTTGAAGTTCCATTTGTTTAGAAGGCAATATAAATAGGATTCTCAACTTTATTTCTAAATTATAGATGTTTGCTTTTTAAATACTTTTGAATTTATAGAAGTACTCACTTATCTTGTAGAGTATATAAACCTGAGGCCCATTTATCTCCAAGAGAGATATTTAATAGGTTTAGAGGGCTTAGATTATAAATGTACAAAAGACAAAAAGCATAGCATATATTATATTTCTCATGGCCATAAAGACATTTTGCCCTGTAATTTGTGGAAGATTTTTACATGGAAGAAATGTTGAAATTAGAGAATCTCAACAGTTCTTACCTGGACTTAGAATCCTACAGCAACTGCGACAAGTCCACTGTTTACCTGTGAAATCGCTCTTTAAATAGTTGACTTTTATCTTTTTATCAGTCTGATGATGATTAACCATCTTAGGTCTTTGTCACAGAAAAATAAGAGAAAATTACCCAGGTTATCCTAGGATTTCACTCCAAACTCCTATATTTTAAATGCTATATTAAAGCATTCTCAAAAGTTCTGCATTATCTGGTGTTAATGTTAAAAACACACAATCTGGGAAGGACTTGTGTCTGTCTATTCAATTAAGTTGGTAGCATAAGACTTTTTTCTTTAGAAGTACAAGTACAGCAAATTATCGAGGGTGTTTAAAACTGTTCCAAATAGAACTGATTTCAAGACAACTTTAAAAATGTATCAGCAGGTTATGCTAAGCATTCACTTTGCTTGGTACTTGGGTACAAATCTAATATGATGTAGATTGGATGTCTTGAAATAATAAAGTGTCAGCTCATTACAAGATAGGTCTTCTAAATGACAATTGTCAAGATAGCTTTGCACAATAGATCCCTTACATCAAAGTTTTAGGCAACAGTGGCCACACAATTCCTTGTATTAACTTTATTTTTAGAGAAGGGAAGAGCTTACCCCAGTTGAAAGTTTTCTTATCTAGGGAGTAACTTTAATAATTTCAGTAACACACATTTTTGATTCCCTATTATACCTTCGAAATTGGGCTCGGTTCTAGAAGTATACTAATTTAAATAAAGTACAGTCTCTTCTCTCACATGAATATCTGAAAAAAAAAGAAGGTGAGATGCATCGGACAAAGTGAGAATACATTTATTAAAAAGCCCTTATCATTCCTCCAGGACTATTAATGAAACTACAGCTATGCATACCCAATTTCTATGTCTTGGTTATCTGATAGATAAGTTATAGTCCTGGTTAATTCTTGGAAGTATTGCAATCATGGGAAGAATCAAAGAGTGAGAAGTGGGAGAATTAGAAATTGTGAGAGACTGAGACATGTAAATTTGGGTCAAGGAAAGTTAGGGTAGAGGTCCACAAATAGTCCTCTGCTGAGTTGGAATCCACCTGGGCATTGGATCTTTGTCAAAATACCAATCCAGCTGGACCAACAGATGGAGTAATGGTTGTGAAACTGGACTCCTACATGATTGACCACAGTTGGAGTCCCAGACCCGGAGTCTTGAAACTCATGCCAGGTGTGTGTGCATGCATGGCCAAAGTCCTGGGAGGAGATTGAAGAAGGGATTGCAGCATGATAATCCCCCCTAGGGGTTTATTTCTCACTTTCTGTCTCTTTTGTCTGTCCAGTGAGTGCACACGGCCTGTAGCAAAAATCTCTCAAAAAAAAAAAAAAAATCCAGCTACACAGCCAGGATCTTCTGATTCAGTAGACCAGGAACTATGCTTTTATAAAAATAAGCATTACAGTTAATTTTTATATGGTCCCAGATTTCTAGAGCCATAGTATCAGAAATACAAAATGTTTTCTGCTATTTTTATGGACTTGCTTTCATTCAGAATGGAAATACAGCTTGGATGATTTTATGTTAATGATTCTTTCCTCAAGTATCCATTCTAGCCAAGCCGTATCAACTTATTTGGAGACAAATATACAGAAAGAAAGAAAATGAAACAGTACAAGTGAATTGAGAGTATTTCTAAGCCCTAAACCAAAGGTGTCAGTGCTCAAATTCTGGAGTGTTTTTAGAGATTAAAGAGCATTTTCTATACCCTTCATTCTTCCAAACTGTTCAAGTAATTAAACTGCTCTTCTTGTGCTACTTATAGAGAAAAAATAGTCAGAGGAAAGACATTGCAATAGTTATTTTAAGATCAATAGTATGCTAACAGTCAAGAATCAATAGAATTGCATAATTCACTTAAAACCATCTGTTCTATTTATTTCATAGATAACTATCACCATTCTGATGAAATATCATAGTCTTTGAAGTCTGATGAACTCTGATGCTGTAAGTAAAATTCCCTTTACCTTTAGCCTCTTTGAAAATTCCTCCCTTACTTTCTTACTCTAGCTGAACTCAGCCCTTCCAAGCAGACTCTGCCTCTCCTGCAGCTGTGATAAACAGGGGCTGCTGCTTCTCGGTATTGATCCAAACCAGATGGACTTGTTTCCAATTTGCCTCATCTTGTTATTTCCTTTCTACTTTCCCTCCCTATCCCCTCAGAATCTGTAGTTTTGAATCTCATGCCAGAAGACCTATCCCTCTTCTTACTGGAAGCATTTACCAAACCTTTGAGTTATTTCTACTCATTCCATGACAGTTTTAACTCTTGGATCAAAGATAATATCTCTAAGTATTACTGCTATTATAACTATTGATTCCAATGACTATGAAGACTATCCTCATTCTCTGGCTTTTAAGCTCTTTAAACAATTGTTTTCTGATTATCTTGGTTTCTAACCATTCCTATAGGTATGTCTTAGGCTTTGTCACTCCAATAACTGCAATCCCTTCATGATAGTTTCAAAAATTGGCCACCACTGCTTATCTTTCCAGCTCACACTTGGTAGTACCCTGGATCCAGCAATGCCTCCTCTGTCAGAACTGGTAATCCATACGTAGACTGTGCCAGAGATTCACTGTTCCTTTTCTCTCATATCCTCTTTTGCCTCCATATCTGGGGTTGACTTCATGGTCAGGGGAATCACTCTTACCCATATATCTTCAAATCGCTTTGACTCTCTATTATTATTGTAATTAATTAGCAAAATAAATCAAGTAATTAGTCGTCTGGACTCTAGATTACCAGTCTCTTAGATTACTATGCCTGTTCACCCATAGAGCTAAATGGAGCTGAAGAAAACCCTGCAACCACACTGACTTTACACTTATGACCAAGAAGTTCAAGTGAGTCTTAATTTTGCCTTGGATTCATAAGGTATTTTCCTAATCCATGTTGCTTCACTTTCCGAGTAGCTGTTTTGTACCTTAGTTCTCCTTCAAATTCTGACTATTCTTTAATATTCCCACCATCAGCTGATAGTCTATTTTACTAATAAAATAAAGATTCAAAAGCTCTCTCCATCACATCTATCTATGCAATGCACCACTGCCACACACTCTGCCTTGATGAGCTAGCTGTTCACACTCTAGTTAAGGCCAGAGTGTGGACAGTGCAACAGATTTTATTTAAAATCTGTTTTTACAAAGATACCAGATTTCTCCACCTAAAGCTCTGTTCTTATCACCATATATGTGGGGGTCGCTTTCTCATCTTCCAAAAATCCTACTTTTGACCACATTCCTTTTCCAGGTATTACTCTATTTTTGTGCTATTTTTACAGGAAAACAGTAACAACAAAACTCCTCAGAAAGGTCATCCATAATTACCATTTTCAATTTCTTTCCTCACATTCAGAGCACAGTCCAATCAGATTTTTGTTCCCAATTCATTTAACCTACTCTTGCCTAAGTCATAAATCACCTAAATGGCACATGCAATGTTTCTCATCTGACCTGATCTATCAGCAACATTTTCCAGAACTGATCATTCCCTTTTATAATAGAAATGCTTTTCAAGATGCTAATTTCTGTGGTTTTTCTCCTAATTCACTGGCTACTCCATTTATACTTCATTTACTAAATCCTTTACATACCTTTGGCTTCATTATTAGAGTGTGTCAGTATTTAGCAATTTAATTTGGGTGATATAATCTAGTCTTATGTTTTAAAATGCCGTCTAGATGTTCATAATTCCAAAATGTTTCTCTCTGGCCAGGAGCTTAGTGCTATTTTGAGATTTGGCCATTGATTGCTCACCATCTCCTTGTAGATATTTCATAGCCACCTCATACTTAGTACTTTCCAAACTGGTCTCCTCACTCTTCCCTTCTCAAATCCCTCCTAAAATATTCCCCATTTTAATAAATTATAATTCTTTCCTTCTAGGTGTGCACACACCACACCCACCCACCCACACACACACACACACACACACACACACATTAGAACCATTCTTTACTTCTTTCTTATAATAGGTTCTAATTTCAAAATATACACAAAATCTGAATAGTTGTCACAACTTCCACAGCTATTGTCTTGGTCCTGAGGTATTACAAGGACCTCTACTTACATTTCAACTTGTTTCTTTACCACTTACCACCACTCCTCCCCAACATCTGTCCCCTCTGTAAATCTCAGCACAGCAGCTAATCAAGCGAGATCAGATAATATGTCACTGCTCTACTCAAATCCCCCAATGGCTTCCTACAACATTCAGCAACTTTTTTTTAGAGATTTTTGCTATAGGGTATGTGCGCTTACCAGAGAGATAGAAAGTGAGAAACCACCTCCTCGGGGGGAGGTGGGGTGGGGAGGGGTGGCTATTTCATAATCCCTTCTTCTCCATTCTCCTCTCAGGATGTTGGGCATGCACAGGCACACACCCAGCATCAGTTTTAAGCTGCCAGATTCAGGACTCAAACCATGATTGATTATGTGGGAGTACAGTGACATAACTATTACACCATCTGCTGACCCCTCAGCTTAATTATTTTCAATGGCTTTAAGGTCCTGTAAGATACAGACCCTGTACACAGGCTATTTGTTGTTGTTCTTATCTGGAAAAATTTCCCCAGATATCTGCATAGCTCATTCCCTCACTATAGTCTAGCATCCACACAAATGGTGATATGCTATACCTCAGTGCTAGATTCTCAGTGAGTTCTTCTCTGATCAGTTTTACTTTTTCTAGAGAGATTTTTTTGCTACAAGGCATGTGTACTCACCTTAGAGACAGACAGAGAGACAGAAAGTGAGAAACCCCCCCCCTCTCTGGGGGATGACCATGCCACAATCCCTTCTCCTCCAGTCTCCTCTTAGGACTTTGTACATGCACACACACAGGCCCAACGTGAATTTTAAGCTGTTGGGTCTGGGACTTAAACCACTGTCAACTATGTGGGAGTCCAGCAATGTAACCATTATGCCCTCTGATCAGTTTTTAATATCACTCCTTCTATCTCTCCATACAGCTTTCTGTTATTTTATTTTTTCTTCATTATCCATCATCATATAAATTTTACTCC